TCGGTTGTGATCGTGAATATGATGGAACTGGGGTGTTCATCCGATCTATCTGTTTAGGGCATATACTTGTCCCGGAAGTGCCTTGAGGCTCGTACTTGAGTGATGTCAGACTGTCGCTTAGCGACCTCAGATATATGATGGAGTGGATCCGACAAAGCCAGCCATACCCAATCTTAAGGGTTGCTGGATTCTTCTCCTAGTCCCGTGGCGTGCCATTCTAGTGACTACTGGAGGTGTTGTCGACTTGTCATCCCTAAGGCGAATCTTGCTGCACTACCACTCCGCAAATGGCTTCATAATGGGCGGATACTGCATACGGCTGACTGCCAAGGAGATTTCACCGTATGCCAGCGTCGTTTTCCAGACGCAGTTAGGTCAATTGCGAAAACCTATTCACACTCCACCGTCCTGAATGTCCTCAACGCGCACGCCGTCGGCACTAGGACGGGCATGAGGAGGACCAGATAGTCAGTACGTTGCACAGAGCTTGTCTGCAAGGGCTTTTTTCGATGGCAAAATTGCTAATGTAGCAGTCAATTAAGGATGTACACAATTCTTACAACGACTTGTAGGGCCTAAAGAATCCAAGTGTTCGCAGGCCGCGTCCATCACAGTGATCTGCAGCCCTCGAGCCACGTAACTGCGGCGCTGTCCCTTCCAGTACTTACTTTGAATAAGAATGAGAACATTGGTTATTTTCGACCAGAATCCAAAAGCTACCTCAGCCTCCTCAAGTTTCAGCGTGTATATATATATCTGCTATCGGTTGTGTCGGCTCGGCACGCCCAAGCCTGAACTTCCCTACTGTCTTACATTGGCACCCCTTGACCAATTTTGATTTTTTTCGTGTTTATTCTGAGCCTCTGATGTCTAATCTGCCAAAATGGTTATTATCACTATTGATATGGACCTATGTCTTTGCCACCGACAGTTTCTGCCGCAGCTCTACGAGTCCATCCAGCGTATTATCTACAAGGCCTCAGAGCAGAAGGAATTCATCCAGTCTTGCGTCCCACCCTTCTTCAAATCCACGAAGGACTTCCTCTTCGCGGGGGATCTCGATGCCAATTTGATCTGCATGTTCACCTCCAGGGTTGGTGTCTGTGTGAAATTTGTTTTCTATGCTCTTCATATGTGACTGTGATTAGCCAGAGCTACTGACAAGCAAGGCATTGAAAGAAGGCAGAAGAAGTTTATAGGGTCCTGGACCAAAGTATATTCGTAGGAACGTTTCTGGAACTACCTGGTTTCCATCATCATCATCATCATCATCATCATCATCATCATCATCATCATCAT